AGAGCTGCAGCCTGTAACTTCTCTGCAGACGGCTTAGGGTTTGACACATTATATACTGCTTTCTCAGAGAATACATCACCTGGCAGGTGGCTGCCAAAGTTGTCCTGCATTTATTTGGATTGCAGCACAAAATGTTGCAAAGAGAGAAAGTGAAAAACAAAACATATGAACAGAATATCCCACATTTTTCTGTTTTATTAAGCAACAACTAACAGCCTGAGACTGTTATAATGCTCAGTTCATGTTCAGTTTGTTAAATGATTTATTGTCCCCCCATCTCTGTTTCACTTACTCCAAAATTTAGAGTATAGCAAAAATAAATACCTGCAAGAATTCAATGCCTCTTTAGGACTACTGTGTATTTACATTTTAAAGAGAAACATTATCTTTCCTTTTCTTAGCTTCTTGTGAATCACTAGAAACACGGGAACATTAAAGATGTTGTGCTAATTTATGGTGCCATAAATGCACCCACTTCCTCCCCGCCTCACGGTTCTGGCCTGGTTTTCTTGGTGCAGGTGTCCAAGTCTTAAAATTATAATAATAAAATAAAAATGGTGGGACAAAACCTCAAATCTGGGTGAATGAGGCGTCTAAAAGGACAGCTTTTGATTTGGTAACAGAGGTTCAGAATAAATAAAAGTAACAATTGTGCAGCTGTCAGTTGCTGATTAGTCCTTTTTAAATTTTTTGGACACATTTTGAATAAGGATTTAAATAAATACAGTGAAGAGATGAAGAGAAATAGAAAGGCAAGAACCCCAGCCTGAGTCTTCGGGTTAAAATTCATAAAACTTTTACTAAAACAGAACAAACGGAGTATGCAGCTGATATTTATCTGATATCTAAACAACTGTCCCTTTAAAAGCTTCAATCATAATAAATAACATAATCTTGTTATGATTGTTTTGCTTCTGATGATTTTGTCTTTCATGCTTCTGTGTGAATTTTTATGAAATTACATAGATTGTTTGTTGAATTCTGTTCGTATCATTTCTTTAATTTGTTCAATGTTTTTCCAATTGGTTTTGCTCTCCACTCTCTCATCACACCTGGTTCTAATTTATAATTCACATCTGCCCTGTATCTGTCTTTTGTTATTTCAGTTTATATATAATCCCATCTTTTTTTAGTTGCTGCTGGCCAGATTACTTTTTTCACTTTCATTTGGTGTCCGACCTGCTCTCCCATTAGCCTTGTGTTGCTCGTGTTCTAAGTTTGGATCCTCACGCTTCTGCAATGCCCTTGGTTTTGTTTTTTGTTAACGAAAATATCTTTTGCTCTTTACAACCTTCCCGACTCCTTGTTCCAACTTTGGATTCTTCTCTTCTTCATTATGGATTGCAGCACAGTTGACTAAATATAAAAACATTACGCCACATTAGAAAAACACATGATCAAATGAGATGCACGGTTCAGCCAAATGTTATACTTAAACTCCCGTTAGTAATGGAAATAACTCGGTAATCATAAGTAGAAAAAATATTAAGTAAAAAGTGTGAAAATATAAAGTCATGATGGAAAAAAAATAAAACCATAAATGTGTGAGTGTCTTCTACCATCTCAAATAGAATTTTCTTTTAGCCTCTCTATTAATACCATCACACCAATTCAATCCGGTAGTTTCTTTTTATAATCTGTGTTTTTCAGTTTTTAATCTCTGCTTGGTAAAGTAATTGTACATGAGCAAGAACTGGAGTGAACTCTGTCCAAAAAAAACCAAAAAAAAAAACCCGGCACCATCATGGAGTATCACACCAACTTCTTAGTGTAAATCCACACCAAACTAATCCCAGAGCTCATACCAACATGACCACTAACCTCCTTTATTCTCAGAGGGGAATAAAAAGTACCAAGATTCAACTATGCTCAGTAACCTCAGTATTATCTGTGGCAACAGAAATTATGACACCAATACTTGTATCTGATTAGCTGGGAAAAATAAGGTAATAAATGTATATTGTTCCAGTTTTATAGAATGTGGAATGCACATCTGATTTTACGGAGTTTCCCCTTTATTGCCAACCCCTCTATAAAATTCAATAAGGTGGTTTACTTTTAAACATGCTGACAAATAAAACGATAAACAAGCAGAGACAACACGCCTCTGCTTTGGTGCAGGATTTAAATCTCCATGAAGTAGTCACAAGTTCAACAAATCAAGGCTTTATGATGCAGCGCAGGGTGTAATTATTATCAACTGACTGTCGCTGAAAGGCAAAGGTGGATGATAATGCTTGTGTGTGTGTGTGTGTGTGTGTGTGTGTGTGTGTGTGTGTGTGTGTGTGTGTGTGTGTGTGTGTG